GTCGAGGGCCACGGACTGCTCCGTCCGGGCCGCGACCCGCTCCTCACCCTGCTGCCCATCGTCGCCCCCGAGGAGGGCGGCAGGCTCGAGCGCTGGGCCAAGTGCATGGCCACCATCCCGACGGCCTGGGCCGACTAGAGAGCGGTCGATAGATGTAGGCAGAAAGCGCGCCGCCGCTCCATCAACGGTCCGCGTTGGCCGTCGGAGCGAGTGGCGCAGTACCAGAGGGCGCCATGAGCGGAAATGGAAGCGCAAAGTCACAGTCACACGAGCATGCCCCGTGAGTCAGAGGATGACAGCCAGGCAGCGAGATGCAAAGGGACTGTGCAATCGAGCAAGCCAGTCCTGGATCTGGGTGGCTGCACATGCACCAGATCCTCTGTGCCTGCACACCATGGCCATCAGCTTGATCCGGCTATCCAAGTTGTACAAACACGGCACTTGCACAGCAGGTAGAAGGTCTTTTCTGGCATGTTCATGCTGCTTCCATCCACAATTCCCAGCGACCCTCCACAGCAGCACCCTCTGACCTTGCCAGCAGCCATTCCTGATCCTCAGGAGTGCAGAAATGCAAAGGGCTGCCGGGATTTTCTGCTGGCTGTGATTTTCTCTGGGTTACAAGGTGTTCTGTGGGAAAAACATGGTAGGGCTGCTTATTGAAAGTTGTTCAAAAGTCATTTCTGAACAACTTTTGAATAGTAGCCCTACTCAGTTTAGACTGCCAATTTCCCGGTAGACGCTCCGCAAAAACATCTGCTTTTGGGGTCGAGGGTTCCAAAGACCCCTGGCGCTCGCTTGACTGCCGCGTCGCTTGTCTCTGCTGGCCGGAGTGGACCCTGACGGGCCGCTGCTGGCCTGCCAGAAGCGCTGAGCGGGCCCTGGTAATTCCAAAAGGGAATACAAATTTAGACTTTTAGCCAAGCTGGTGGACCCTGTGACTACAACTTGGGGACACTCGTGACTACACCTGGACGCAGCCCATTACAGTCCAAGGCGTACGTGCAACTACAACTTAGGACACGGGCAACTACAGTTGGTCTACGTGCGACTACAACAGGGGAT